GTGGGAGAGGCTGGCGGTGTCAGGGCCGAAGCCACAGCCCCGCGCCGAGAGCGTCGCCCTGGCCGTCTCTGAGCTACTAATCAGAGGCAACGGCATCGACAATAACGGATGCAACAGTATCATTGGCTACGCAAACAACAACAATAACAACAACAATAACAACAACAACAATGGTAGCATCGGTCGGCCGAGGACGAGGAACAACAGCCAGCGAGCAGTCAAGAGCCTCAGCAGCTACGGGCGCGTCTCGCCGTGTGAGCCGGCACCGACGAGGCCGAGCTTTCTCCGTGAAATCTCCAAGCTGTCGCAGATCAACCTGTCGAGGCTCAGCCATCCGAACAAGTGCAGTTACTCGGTGCTCAGTGGCCACGATGACCATGACCTCGAGAGCCCTTCGGAGGTAGGTGCAACGAGGAGTACAAACCTTTCTTTTTGTACTTTGACGATCGAACGGTTCGAGCTCTCTTTTGCACGTGTAATTAAAATATATGTAGAGTTTTTCATAAATCATTTAAAGACTGGAAGTCTCGCAACCATTCAGTCGTCACGTATAGGCATAAGCAAAATTTTTCAATTCCGAACAATCGTTGAAACGGAAGTTTCAACTTACGCGCATACTTTGCAATCCTCGTAAAGTCACTTGAGCACAAGATTTCAAAGTATATAATATTTCATTGTAACTCCCTTTCGAGCTGAAAGCTCCGATGTGAGCGAAGACACTATAAAAATCCCGCAATTGGCAAGCTTATAGCGTAGAGGAAAGCTGACGAGCTCTGAGTTTGCGCTCAGGCAAACTCGTACTTTCCGTTCCAACAGGTCGACGTCGAGGTGATCGAGCCGTCGACGGGCATGGTCAAGTCGCGGAGTTCCAATACACTGGCGGCCCGTCGGCGGGGGGCGGCCCAGCGCATGTCCGACCCACCCCGTGCCAGTATGATAGAGCCCCTGCTCAGCAACATCAACAACAATTACAACGACAACAACAATGGCTTCGGAGGTATGACGAGGGAGCCCATATCGGTGCCGAATTTTCGGGCGCTAGCCCTGCCGACTCCCGTGTTGACGCCCATCGAGGCCGCGAGACTCGTTTTCGTCGATCCGGACGAGGACTCGGACGACGAAGAGCTCAAGCGCAAGGAGCCACCCACGAGTCAACTCATCGAGCTACCCGAGGAGGAGAAACGGTAAAGCCGGCCATCATTTTTACCGTCGTAATCCCTCTTTTTTTCCATTTTGAAGCCTTTGCTTTTATTTTGAAAGGGGGGTATGTATAACATGTACTTGTAAAAAAAAAAAAAAAAAAAAAATGCTAATTCACACCGAAACCGGATCAACAGTGACTTTGCGTCCCTCCACCAAGCCTGCCAGCCAACGCGTGGTGACAACTACAGCTTGCACCTGTACGATTCGGTGCAGACACCAAAGACCCCATGCCCGAAACTCTCGCACTCGACGTCCGTCCGGTTCGCCGATCTCGAGGAGGACCGCGAGGAATCTACCTCCGATTACGCAAGTATCGGTGCTCGCAGCCCTGGTGACCCGCTGGCCGACGATGACTGGCCCAGACGCCCCAAGAGCCAGCGAGGCTCCTCCACCGTCACTACTCCGGTTTGTTGTCGAAAAAAAAGAAAAAGAAAAAAAAAATGAACAATAGTAATGATAATGAAATGACAAATTGTCCCTTTGATACTTTCCTGCAGGCGCCAAGGGATAGCCAGTTCGGCTTCTGTAATCCGAATTACCTGGCAAGCGTCGAAAACACGATGGCATCCTCGATGACGACGCCGACGACACCGCACGGGCAGTACTACGACAGCGCGATAAGCAACGCAAACTCGGCCGAGTCGTCGCGTTACGCCAAGGTGCTCAACAGCCCACCCGACAGTGTTCTCGAGGACGAGCCCGGCCGATCGGCCTCGCAAACCTTCGCCGAGCTGTTCGAGCTCCAAGAGATAAAGCCTCGCGCACCGCCCAAGAGTCTGCCCCTGGGGTCACCCTCGCGACGGGCCGTCAGTGCTTCGAGGGCCGAGCGGCAAAGGGCCAAACTGGCAGCCCAGGAAAACACCGAGAGGTACACCCCGGGGCCGGCGCCGCTCTACGTTTTTTTGGTCGGCGGCAAGGAGAAGGGCCAGGTGACGGTCTTTGCGCGGCCGGTCTCGCTGTGGAAGCTACAACTCGCACCGCATATATTTTAAGAGGGGTTGGATTGGGGTGTAGAAGATAGGTTTTTATTTCCTTATTTATTTGTTTTTTTAAATCCGTGTCTGTGTTTTTTCTACTGGTTTTTGTAGCTAGATGTCACGTGGACGATTTGTATGGATGCACTTGTGTACTGTATGCGTACGTAGATCGCAAGTGTCTGAAAAATGGGAGGAATCTTAAATTTGTACTGTGAAAATTGAACAAAGATATTTTGTAAGATGGGTGTAGAGGATTAAGGGTTGAAGATGATCGTCTATTCTTCTGCCGTTGTCGTCATTTTCGTTATATCAAATTTCACGCGATACTCCATACTTCGCGTCAGAAAAGATCGTTTGAGCGATATTTTGACAAAGTAAAATAAAAATTGTTGCACCAATGATATCCACGGCACAAGTTTCATCACTAACGGTAATTTTACTAAAAAAAAAAAAAAAAAAAAAAAAAAAAAGAGAGAAACAGTACAAAAAGTATTTTCAAAAAAGGTGTGATACAGTTATAACTGTATACAGATAGGTAAATGTATTCTAATTTTAGACAATTTTTCATACCCCAAAAGCCATACAAAAATTGTAATTGATGATCATCGTCGTTGTGGAAAAATATTGCGTCGTCTATATTATAATGTATAAATGTCAAATGTGTGTAAGAGCTATAAATATTTGATCTCGAGTGCCCGGGTAATACGCAATAAACCAGAGAGATAAAGAATGTAAGTATCGGCGCAGTAGGTCCATCGCACGATTATCTATAAATATAAGGCTTGAAAGGTCCAAATAAGACTTGATAAATGCAGGTATGACGTACACGTCATTCCTGCAAAAATATCTTTGCACGTGCATAAAAGGCGGTGTTATAAAAATATCCTCTCCCTTTATGTCAGGCTATCGTTCGGAATGTCTTACACTTACTGTCAGTGTCATAATAGCATCAAACAAAATGAACAAGATGTACATTGAATTGAAAGTCATACACAGAGATATTACTTATCAAACTGATGCTTTTGTCCATCGTATTTTATTGGATTATATATATNCCTTTTTTTCCTTCTTTTATATATATAAGGACGTCATTCAATTTGTTACAAAACAAGTTGTTTTTTTCTTTAAATAGTTCCTTCTTTTCTTATGAGCACTATCATTAGTGTATCCATATTATTATAATTATTGATTTTACAATTTTGTCAAGTATATGTTTTTTGAAGTATCTCCGAACGATTATTCCGTCGATTAATGATATAAATTGATACACGAGCCAACGTAAAACAAAAGAGTCAAATCCAATGCGGTGTATATACGTAACAGTGCCAAAAATATACTAAAGAAAATTTCGAGTCCACGGGGTCTTGAGACTCGCTGCTCGACTTTTCACATATTGCAAAAAAAAGTATATCAATTGATGGTGTTATTGGAAAATATGACATCCTTGAATTACAATGTTTAATACACGTACTGGAGCAGCGAATCTTCAACTTATCGTGTCACTTGACTATCGTTGTTCGTAGTCTTGATCTCATAGATGTATAGTAGTAGCTTCTCTTTATCTTCGGAGCATCGATGAAATATCAATTAAAAAAAAGGGAAAAACAATTAGTAACGAAAAAGGCTGAGAGCGTCAACCAAGTAGATGATAGGAGATAACATTAGATAACTCAAGGGTATTCGTAATCCTCGTGAATAATCATAATAAATATTAACGAATAACATTATATAGTATAGATATTGTACATGGTTAGGCGGTGTAAGTGTATACATATTGTAAAGTTAAAGGATATGAGAGTACAGGGAAGTGGAAGCGTAACTCGCAGATTGTTGGGAAAACATAAAATGGTATTTTAGTAGGAAAATGAGAAAAACGAGCTGTGGAAAGTGCGATAGAAATCAATACGGCGCGCGTGAAAGAAATCAGCCAAATACGAGGAATTTTAAACTTAAGTTACGTGTCACAGTATTAGAAACTACTTTTGAGACTTCAACTTTATACATAAGTTTCGAGAGGTGATGTACGTAGTCTTTCATTTACCTTTGTGTTCGATAATACCATCAGATCAGAGATAAATATATAAGATGTTCCAAAAATCTTACAGAAAAACTATATTATATAAGATTAAGCTTATCAAGATACTCAAAAAAGTTTTTTTTATTTTGGTCTAATGCGTACTTCCTAATTTATTTGTCGATTGAACATCAATGGAAAAGTAAAAATACTAGCCTGCTTTGTGGCGAATAAATTTGTTCATTTTAATGTGATATTCGATACCTTAATAAATACGGGTTGTGTAAAAATATAATATCTTTGTTGTTTATCTGAATGAGCTAAACATGAT